CCTGTTTACTAATTCGTGGCTGTTTTAAAACTGACTGACAGCACGTTCGCAGATTGCTGTTTGCTAAAGGTTAAACATAACTGATTACTCTGAAAAACACAGTGATTAAAAGCTACCGAATTAATTTGGTTGAGAATTTTGTCCAGAGCAATTTAATTGAACAGCTGCGAACAGAAATCCTTCCTGTGCCCTTGAAGCAGGAAGGTTTTAAAAACATCCTGAGGATGAGAGGCTGCGTTGATAAGGAGAGGTGAAGAATGAATTACAGTCTTTATTATTGCCCAATAAATGTATCTTTATTTAATAGGATGTCTGTTAAATAAATAAATATCAAGAAATATTTTACGGTGTCAATAAAGAAAGAATTAAACAATCTAATTTAAAAGGCTATACATTTTTTAAGAAGTTTGTGGTAAATTTAAAACAAAAAAAACAAAAAACATGGGTGATTATAAAGTTTTGCATACGAAAGACACACGGCACATATCTATATGATAATCAAACTCTTCCCATACTTCTGCATGTCTGGAGTCACTGCAGCCACCACTGCTGTTACGTTACCTATGGGCAACCACGTGAAATCCTCTCTTTCTAAGAATACATATTTTGATCGTTACTGGTGAATGGCTGTGCATTTAAAGCACGCTGAAATCAGATGATTTTTGATACATCCTGTATATTGTGTAGTACATGTGTTGTTTTTAAGGAAGCTCCCTTTTGTTTCTAAAGCTTGGAGAAGACATCAGGTTGGACTATTTGTTTAGTTGCTCTGATTTCTTGCTGCTGCACTGACTGTTTCAGAGTTATTTGGGGTTTTACTTATTGCTATCAAAACAACTGCATGTAACCAGAGGAGAAGAGCGAGCACACCACAAACCCTTTGGTTTAAAGTTGTGCCACAAAGATCAACTTAGACCTGAAATTTAGCTGCTGTGGCGATTCAACTACAACAGCGGTCCCCAACCTTTTTACGCCACAGACCGGTTTAATGTCAGACAATATTTTCACGGACCGGCCTTTGGTGTCGCGGATAAAAACAACAAAATAAAATGATACAACCAAGACAAAAACTGTGATATTTTGTAAATATAATAATAAACGCGAACTCACTGTGTAATTGTGTAACTTTATTAGCAGCGTCCTCCTGAAATGCGCCGACAACATTGAGAGTAACATCCTCCTCTCTGCCCTTTAATGCTCTCTGGTCGCTATGGTAACGTGTAAATATTTCTTTCAAAATAAGACACAAAACTACAACAAAAGACCCAGGGAAACTGAGTTAACGATAAAAATCCCCAAAACCATAAATTTCACACCCAAGCCTCAACTCTCGCGGCCCGGAACCAAACAACTCATGGACAGGTACCGGTCCGTGACCCAGGGGTTGGGGAACGCTGAACTACACGATATATTTGCACGCTAATGTTTTCATTTTAAATGAGCTGTACAGCAATACACTGAGTGGTGATTTTTTATTTTATTTTGCCCAATCCATTGATATCAATGAGCGTACACTAAAAAAAAGAAACAGTATTGGCAGCAGTTTAGCAGGGCTACAAAGGCAACACACTTTCAACAGAACTTGAAAAGTACAACCTTCATGAAGGTGCAATTTATTGCAGGATTGTTAGGTTTTAAGTTTATATATAAGTTTACATTTAACACAGGTGTACTTAAACAGCTGGTAAATGATTGCACGGCTTCGTTATCAGGTGGTCTATATGTTGGCTACGTACCATGCTGCTGCACTCCTCATCCACAGGGTTTCCGAGTGGTCCAGGAAAGCTGCCTTGCTGCTGTTTTCTGTGCGGCTGTGAAGTTTCAGAGACTCTCGAGGGAAAGACAGACTAGGAGGACTAAAGTCCTGCAGAAAATACAACAACATAATGGACATTTAGGAATGAGTTGCCTCTCTACATCAGCCTGACCCCCAACAAGTGACAGGATATCTCATTCACTTTAATGTGAATGAGATATCCTGATGGCAGTAGCCTTTGTGTATCGGTTAATTCACATCACTTCTGCACATACATGTAACTTGTTGAGTGTTAGTTTTTTTCTCTCTCTCTTATTTTCTTTTCTAAATGTACCTGTATATTGTTTACATGCTTGAAATAAATTACCAATCAATCAATCAGTGTAGCTTACTTTGGTTATACTACTAGATAAAGTCTGTCAGTAAGGCAGTCCATTGTACTGCACGCATTGAGTTGAAGATGAAAAAATAAATTAATAAATTAATAAATGTATTTGCAGGTTAGTTATCACTAAGAAACCTAAATCAGGAAAATTAATTTCATTTTGATCTGCCTAAAAGCGTAAGTGACTGATACATCTCCTTTAATAGACTATGGGACTGTGTCAGAGCTGAGCACACTGAAGGGATTATAATTTAATTAAAATACAATGAAGCTCTTTTGTGTGAACACAAAGAAGCTAAATTTATATATTAACTTATGAATTCATAAGATTAATGATTAGAGCCAGAGTTGCTCTTTTGCCTTATTTGCACCACCTGTGTTTGCTTTGTTGTTATATTGTTTTTATAGATTTCCATTTCTCTTTACATCTGGTGCCTCTGAAGTATGGGGCACTTAAATTGTATATTTTGATGAAGACTGAAGCAACCACTCCTTTTTTGTGAGTACACACAGAACAGAAACAGAAAGTCGGAATTAAGAGTAAGCTGATAACCATTGATTTTACACTGCTTAATAACACAAAGAAAACCTGGGTGATAGTACACTCCTGTGGCTCAAAACGAGGATGAATAACAACAAAAACACAATTAACCCACACAAATACCTACAAGCCTGAGCTAAAATGCTGTTAAACACTTTATTTTATGGGAAAGGAATTTTTCTTTATTCTTTTCCATCTCCAAACTATACATCACAACAGCTCTCAGATCTGGTATTTCTTCCCTTTCACTCTTGCTGCTATCCTTCAAAATCAGTAGTTGGGGCTGATTTAACTACTGATTTTGAAGGAGTTGAGGGAGCCTGCACGTCACCTCATTTGCGCACTTCCTATTGCTTTACCAGGTATTTAAACTTTCACTACCTCTACTTACTTGCAACTTCAGGGAGCACCAATACTAAGGTTTATTATAATGAAAATTAGAGTAAAATCTACTTGGGAAAAAGCAAACTATTTAAGACTGACATTAACTTACAAGACTTACAAGGAATCAGTCTGTCTTGAACGTCTTAAATCTTGAATGCCATAAGTTATATGGTAAAATTATATGGTAATGCTGAACCAAAAACAAAACAAAACAAACAAACCCTAACTCTTAAATGTTTACCATTAATTGAAAGGGGCAAATCCTGCCGTAAAACTAACAAAGTAAACTGAATTGAAAAAGCAATTACAAAAAACAAATAATAATTAAGACTACAAAATGACGCTTAATAAGTTACCCCACTGGAAACATGACTGTCTGTCTTAGCTGAGACTGATAAGTCTGTAGGTTTGAGTCGGACCTGCTTCAGCTGGTCTTCAGTGCTGCTCCCCGACAGCAACTCGTTGTTGGACTCGCACACAGTGGTCTGTCCGTAGGGCAACGGAGGGGGGAAAAGAGCCAGAGAGCACATCTTCTACACGGAGAAATTATTCCACCGGACCCTGCAAAAACACAGTGGATTCGTCAGGTAAAGGCAGACACAGAAGTAGTGGACGCTGTAGCTTTTAGAGCGTGGGAAGCTAGCTAACATCACCAGCTGAAGAAAGTTAACTAGTTTGTAATCTTATAATGCTTTGGCAAGAGCCTCGTTTGTATTTAGTGGTCATTACCTCGTAGTGTGTTTTGTATAGTGCTGTCAATTCTCATTCGTTGTTTCAAAAACAAAGTCAAAGTACATGCTAGTTTGTTGTGACGCTCCTTCAAGTCAATCCCGCCGCGTAAACTACGGCAACACGGAGGGACAAACAGTACAATTTTTCCTGCAGTGCACAAACTGGGAAAAAATGTCGCACTGCCCTCTTCAGGACAGAAAGCGACACTGGAACCATACACAGGCAAACAAGTACAATTTATTTAGGTCGGGAGTGTCAAATTCACTATTTGATCTTAACAAAAATGGCGTATATAAAGAAGTATCATTTCAAGGCGTTTACCTGAGCCATGGAGCCTATATAGAGATTACAAAACAAAAACAAACATCAAAATAAACAAGCATAAACTCAAGTGAAAGACACTCCTCAATCCAGTCATCATAAAAAATGCCAGAGAACAGAAGGTAGTACTTCTTGGTAAGGTACTTTTCTAATTTATTCAATAATTCACTTACAAAATATATAAAATGCCCAAAGTTCTTTAGGCAAAGTAAAATTCAACAGTATCTCTGTTCTTTTTTCCACATTTATTTAATCTACTGTAACTGCATGTGCATTGCAGTGTACTGATCACAAGGAAAAGGCACAAAGCATTCACACACAGTTTTTTCCAGACATTTTCACTCCTGTAATAATAATAATAATAATAATAATAATAATAATAATAATAATAATAATAATAATAGCGCATTTAATTAAAAACACTGGAGTAATTAATTAATGTTAACACTTTGCGCCATCCAGTGGGCCGAATTACGCCGTTTGGTGGGCCAGATGTGGCCCTCGGGCCGCGAATTCGACAGCTCTGGGGATAGCTACAATACAGGACTCATATAGTTTGTCAGGAGAGGTTTTCACCAAACAGAGCACAGTTTATGAACAAAAACAAAACAATAAATGAATCAGGGCGTACGGTCTGGGGCAATCCAGAGTTCCTGGACTGGTCTTGCTCAAAGACACATCAGCAGCAGCAGCCTGGCTCGATGCTGCTCATACAGGACCTTCTTCCGGTTCAAACTCAAGCACAGAAATCAGTGAATGGCGTGCGTGCATAATTATATATTTTGGGAATGATAGATAAAAACTGCGCTTAGTTCCGTTGGTGTCTATGTGTTTGCAGAGGGAGGAGGTGGCAGCGCCCCCTTGCGGCGTAACACGCATTTCCGTGACGTCAATTCAGCACTGGGAAGGAGACAGCTCCCTCCCCCCCCAAAAAACCCAGCGCGCCTCACGTTGCATGGGTCCCCGGTTATTGATAACACAATTTACCCGCTGGGATCTATCCCAGTAACGTGAAACTCGTGGATATCGGCGCTGGAAATACTAGAGACATCCCGGACCGAATAAAAAATAACGATCTGCTCATTATCGCCGGCAAATAGAAAGCCGAGCCCACCCCTTCACTTGACAACGCGACATCAACCAGGCAGAAAGGTATGGGAATGTCATACTACCCGGTTAAATGCTTGATAAATGTGATATCAGGTACGTTTAGGCAGGAATCCGTTGCTTGGTGGGGTAGCGTTCATGCCGCTCACACTGCACCACTGAAGTGATGCTGCCAAGAAGCGAATCATCGTCGATGAATGCTACAAAATCATATTTGTGCAAAGAGAAAGCTCACATTACGAAATACTCGCGTTGGTACCAGCGCTGAGTAAATGTACATGTACTGCGGCAGTTTGACTTGGCATGGAGCATAGTAGGCATCGGGCTTGCTATTCATGCACGTCGGCTATGATGCTGCTGAGTGTCATCATCACATCCTTGGTTATTTAAAGATTGATCTTCCTGCGTGTGTGTGTGTGCGTGCGTGTGTGTGTGTGCACTACTCCTTCGCACAGGCCTGGTGGTTGTTTATTGCCCGTCTTTTACGCTCTCATTTCGCCCAGCCGTTGTGGCTCTTCTTGTGCAGTGGTGCAGTACAAGACACGGAGCTGGTGTAGGATACATGAATTGGGTACATGTGGTTCCTCTCTCTGGCTCCCACTCTTTCCCCCTCTCTCCCTCTCTAACATACACATACATGCACGCACGTACGTACGTACACATGCACACGCGGAGGTGGTTATGCAATTCGTCATATTCTTCATCACACACAATGCTCTTCTTCACTCAGCAAATGATGGGCAGCATATACCAGCTGCTTCGCTTGCATCCTGTCAGACCCTGGTGCTGCTCAGAGGAACAATTAAAGCACAGGGGACAGTCATGGCTGTGGACTGTACAACAGCCTGTGGTCGATTCATTCATAAAGCCAGTTTCCACTCTGGGTGATGGCTCCACTGGGCCGGCTGGTTTTCCCATTCACAGACACAGAGATGAGGCTCTACTACATGATTCAGACAGAATTTAGTTGTGGGACTGGAGTGGCTGTGGATAGACTGGGAGACTGGCTCGCTGCCCAACTCACAACACGACTCCCTCTGTTTTGGTGTTTTGTATCGCTTGTAATGGAAGCCGGGTGCCAAGTTAGCCTTTAATTCAGCGCTGAACAGCTTCATAATGCCAGTGTATGGTTTAAGTCTGGAGCTGTCCAGTGCTGAAACGAACCTATGCATCAACATTTGTTCTAATTCACTTCTTATCACAAATCTCCTCCTCCAGGCTTTCTTCTCATCTGTCCATCCTCCATCCACCCTGACCTGCTGTGTTGGGGAAACCCCTGATGAGTGGGACCTGTATCCATGAGCCCCGTGCCCCTTCCCCCTCCCTGTCAGGCTTCAGTACCCCCATCTCAGAACCTCCCTATCGAAGACTCGATGGAGACACCCCTGCCTGCACCCCTGAAACTGACCTGACCCCCACACAGTGTGTCCTTCGTAACGTATTGTCCATTGACACCGGCGGACAGGGAGTGCCTGGCGGAAGCAGCCCCACTCCCAGTGATGGACCCTCAGCCCACTTTGACAACAGCGTGCTAAAACTAAATGAACATGAGGCCTGCCAGTGTGGCGGCGGGGCCGAGGCGGGCCACAGTCCGGAGGCTGGTGCTGTTCGGAGCCAGTCGGAGAACATTCGCCTACAATCAGGAAGTGGAGGTTTTTTGGAGGGACTGTTTGGCTGCCTGAAACCAGTCTGGACCATGATTGGAAAGGCCTACTCCACTGAACACAAACATAATCATGAAGGTATGTGCAGATAAGGCGCCACTGTGTCTATGCTCTCTGTTCTTCCACTATGTATGTTAAACATGGCGATTCACCACAGAAAATGAATAGTTTAAGCCTCAACTTGACAGTGGTGGAGGAATGAACCACCAGAAGCAGAGCTGTTATTAGTATTAATTTTGCTTCTTACTTTTTGTTTTCTTGTAAAACATTGGATAATTTGTCCTGGGCCTCATCTGCTTTAATAAGACATGATGAGACAAACAGGTTGGTAGTTGCCGTGTTACCCTTAAACAATGGATTACATAGCCTTTTCATAAGTTTCTGTGTCAGGTCCTTAACAGTAACTATGGCTGTTGTTAGTTAAATGTGGTGCAGGAAAAAAAAAAGATATTTTAGCCCGGGAAATCTAGTGGAGCGAAAGGGTAAAGTGGCAGAAAATAGAAATACTCAAGCATGAGTACCTCAAACTGTACTTAAGAACAGCACTTATAAATGTACTTTTGTATTTTGCAAACCCAGAACTCCATTATTTCCTGCGCTCCCTGACTGCCACTTTGTCCTGCTGGCAGCACGACTGTGCTCGAGTCTGTCAGCCAGGCTCACCCACAGTCATCAGCTAAACTGAGATCTCACAGCTGGTCAGGTGGGAGCATCATGTGCATCTGGCTCCACTGCTGCTGCTGCAGCTCTCAAGAGATCTAAACACTTCAGTGGACCTCATGAAGAATTGATCCAGCTGTCTCTTTTATTCTGTCAAGCTCGTCCATCTTTAGTGACCGTGCTTTCACAGTCGTTTAAGTAAAGTCAGCGTGACGGATGACAGGCAGATTAGACTACAAGTGCTTTTCCCCCTATTTTTCTCCTTATCTCTGGATACAAATGCAATGACCTAGTGGATATGTTGTCAATATCCCACTTGTTTGACCATAGCAGGCACTTTGTATGATGTAACTGTGTCCTGCCAGTTTATTCTAATGTGTAGCATGGATGCACCCCCCCACCCCCACCCCCCAAAACAAAACAAAACAAAACAAAACAAAAC